AAAATAGCTATTTTATTAATGCTATTTCTAAGCAGCAGCTAGTAAAATTAAGAGGTAAACGGTAAAATAAATAATTAAATTTTCTTAAGGCCCACCTGTTATAACAGGCTTTCTGAGATTTAGCAGTGCAAACTTATAATATATTTACCTGGAACTGACCAGAAAACAATTAAGGTAAACAGAGGTATAGTGTGGGCTTATTGCTATCCTGTAATTAAACTAGATCTGTTGCTGTGTCTTTGGTGCAGAGCTATTAAGCAGAGTGAACAGACAGCCATTGTGCAAGTGTAACTGCAGATGAGCAGGGGTACATCCTGAAAAAAGGACAAAAGACAGAGAAAGGGCCTCCACTTTAACAACAGTTCATCTCCATGTTAACAGCAGACAGAAAACAAACCGACAACACTTATAAAAAAAGTAATGTACGGAGGGGTTTCACACGGGGATATCAGCTTCTTTAAAGGCTGGATACGATCAAAAACGACGTCAGAAACGTGAAAAAACACGTAGTAAACGCTCAAACCGGAAGGAGGACCACGAATAGCTGCCTCTCCTAAAACCTCGAATGGAAGCCATTTTTTTTGTTGTGTCGCATGAAGAAACCGGACGTTACATTCCGCCACCTTCCCCCGACTTCACCCGGACACTTCGCTTGTTTTAATCTTTTATTAAATCGTTATCGTTGGGCACTGTTGCTCGTGCAGTCACGACGTAACGACACAATCCGTTCCTGCGTGCGCACGTGTCGTCATCCATTCATAGAACACAGCCCCGAGCACGAGCCCGCCCGGTCACAAACAGAAACAGCTCACCGGCTTTAAAACCGCTAAAACTATATTTATATCATATTATGTAAAGGTCTAGGCTTCACACTAGGACATTGGGTTGTTAATTTGTAGTTTTATCCGCTGTAATAGGCTAAAAAGGTACCGTGCCCGGTCGCTTCCGTCTCTATTACGTTTGACGTGGATTTTCGTAGAAAGTGGGCGCAACCGGAATGGGAAATAAAGCAGCAGCCAAATGCTGGTAAAAAGCATGAAAGTGTCTGGTAGATTTTAGACACAAAACGAGTCTTTACGGATGAGTGGCGAGTTAAAACATTCCTCTGCCTGTGGCTATAAAGGAGTGACCTCCAGCTGACTGGACGGACAGTCGTCCTCATAATGTGTCCGCAGACAGTTTCAGTGACAATAAGTGTGTGTTGGACAGATGGTCAGTACTTTATATTAACGGAGGAAGGACAGTTCACACCCGTCGGTTCGAGCCAGGCGTTACACAACCGTAACAACCGCCAAATCACACGTCTCTCCTCGGCGAAACAAACATATTTAATAACGTTAAGCCTCGTTTTTTTTTTTTTTGTTAATGCTAACGTTAGCTGGAAACAGATCCTCGTTATTGTCGCATTACGTAGCACAATGCCTCATCACTCCGGCGACCGTTAGCCGTTTGTTCACGGTAACGACAAACTGTTAGTGACGGCGGCCGGCGAATAAACCAAAAGCAGCTCTTTTTGTGCCGAAATAAAGTATTGAAAGATTTAAAAACTTACCACACGTTGCAGTTATCGATCCTGAAGAACAGCGCTCGCTAGCCGGTAAGCTAATTAGCGCGCGGACAATCGATAGCGCGCGCGGGATAGTGAGGACTAAAATTTAAAAGATACAAAAACAAACTTTACTTTAAACAATAAAGTGACGACACCGGGAGAAAAAAATACCAATCCCTATGAATGACTATCGGATTTGATGTGAAATAAGTCCGTGTGTTCGGATCCAGAAACACTTTGAATGAGCGCTTCACTGCCGCATGTGTGGAAGAACTTGTTCGTGCCGGTTCATCGGAACAGGGGGTTTCTGTTTTTATTGGATACACCCTTCAGGGGAAAGCTCCGCGGCCGGCTGGTCAACAGCAGCTGTTCTTCTCTTGCTGTTTATTTGGATACACAC